AGAGATTGAAGTATAGTCGTAGGATGTCACTGAACTATAGTTTTCCTTTATTTCCTTCATTTTTAGTTTATCCCCTGCATTCGATTACAAAATATAGAATTTCAGAAGACAGACAAGGACTTTCTGTGACATCTTCAAATGCTGTTCTTCCCGAGCTTCCGAACCCTGCCGAAGTATGTTCACTTTCCGTATGCAGCGGATTTCAGTGCTAGAGTAACAGGACTACGTCACGTTGAACTGTCACATGAAATGAACCCCAATAAGCTGTTACTACAGCGGGTACTGCGTTCGCGATAAAAAACGGAAAACTATATTGTACCACCCTGAAAATGGGAACCTAAAGCGACTTCATTGTAGCAGAAGCTGCTACAAAGTGGGCTTGAGATTCTTACCGCTACGCTTGACGTAGCATACAAAGTGTTCCGCTAGAATGTAGGGCTCCATGTGCCTCCGAAGCGGCCAAGCCTATTAATGTATACGATTGCCAAACCTATTAATGTGTACGATTTTGAGAAAAGGTAGAGTTTTGGAGTTGGCTGAATAAACCCATCAAATTTGAAGATGGAGTATGCGAGACGGTCCGCCCACCCAGTAGCTCCCTTGGCCCTCTCCCAATATTCGAAGAAGAACTGTACACTCCCTTGCCCTATGTGGAAAGAACAGATGCGTAGCTGCACAAGCGCGCCACGTTCCCCCTTATTGTTAGAATGCTCGGAAACTAGGCGGGGGGTAATGATACGCTAGTGGCCACTCCATACTCTGCCTAGCGCCGCAGCAGCGCCGGACCCTCTGCCGTCGTCAAACGCACCACTTGTCTGCTCCCGTTCACTTCTATTCTTCCTCTACAGCTGAGTGCCGGCCTCGTTGCGAGACCTTGGCATAGAGATACCGCTACCCTACAGTCCCGTTCCCGTGCGAATGGAGCGGAGAAAGTGGCAGGCTATTGCAACTGCGAAACCATTCGCTCTGCACATTGCAATGACCACCCTCGAAGGTGACTGTACACATTGACTTCAGGCTACTGAAGCGTTCACTCAGTACCACAGAATGACCACTTTCGGTAAACCGCGTTTCGAATGCACCTATCCTTATCTTTGGAAGCTTTCCAGTTTCTTACTTAGGGTTGACTTGCAAAGACGGTATCACTTTTCCAGTTCAATTCAGGAAACTGAAAGTCTTCCTGCCCCGTACTTTACTTCTGGACACAGCTCCCATGTTCATTGTTCTCCCAACACCAGGAAATATGTTTCATCGAAGGTAAGTGATCCGCTTTAAGCCGCTCTTCAGGCCTGAATTGTATGACCACTATTAGGAGTCGAAGTATCTTGGAATGCCGAACGACCTCTATCTCGTTTGTTCGAACTTTCCCACCTCCTCATTACCTGAAATCACTGTGCCAAATGCAAAATGCGAAACACAGACCGTCTACGCCTCTCCTGTAAAAGTTGATCAGCAACCATTTGGAACTGCTCATGAGGGTAAGTTCCATTACAAAACTTACAATGTCAAACTTAGGATGAAAGCGAAATATAATTACCTAGTGTTCGAAGCGTTCTCTTGAATCGTTGCAGATATCAATCCGAACGACCTTCCTGGACCAGCACACTTCCCCGTGGCTCACTACGCTACTCAGGTTGGTCATCCAAGGAACTTTCGTTATCAGTAATCTCTCTAAGACATACCAACAATGTGAGTTCCCTTAAAGATTTGTGATCGCGACTTCATTCGGAATTAGCTTAGCGAGGACATAATGGTGTCAACCGCTTTCAAATTAGTTCTTTGACGGGCAGGAGAAAGGGGACCGAAAAAGTGGTGTGAAGGGGACATTTAACACAGTAGTGAAAAGAGAAGGGCCGTTGTAGATGCTTGAAATAAGACTCCCTTCGAAGCAGTACTGTACGCATGACACCGAAGTAAGGGCGTAGTTGCAAGAAATTATCGGGAACTGCTGTGGTCTATATAGCTGCCGCAATTCAATGGCATGTTCTCTTTAGGAGAAAGTACCATCTTATCTCACGCTGAACAAAGAGATTATCACAATAGTACCGGTTCAAAGTATCTTACGAAAGACGCAACCGTCACCACGTTCAAACGACGCACGTGGTCACGCCCACCCCAACAGCAGGATATCGAGTGCACATAGAGCGATAGGCGGGGACAGTGAGAGCAAATGGCATGAACGCCCGGTCACTTGATTTTACGCCGCGAACGACGTGCAGCAGCTCCGCTGCGGACCACTCTTCTTGTAGGAGGGGTATACTCAGCTAACTGCGAAATGCGCCTTGACACTTCTCGCGATCAGTTGTTATGGATAGGGGGTGTTCAGTTAAGAACCAGCAGGCAATAAGCAAAAAGAATCTCTTGGAATAGCGCACTAAATAAGTGAAATAAAAGGACGCCATTGACAAACCTCTGCCTGGCAGTCTCACAGCCTCATTGTACGAGTTCTCCGAACTTGCTTGCAACTCGACGCCCTACGGCTGTGTGCAAGCCCTGGCTCACAAATCGCGTTCTCACATATTCCAGTATTGAATGCCATCCAATGCAAGGAAAAGAAAGCGAAAACCAGCACCGGAGCAGCACTCGTAACAGAAAGTACTTTCGAAAGCTCTGCGATCGAAATTAGGACTACGGTAAGCGGTGCACGGGGGATTCGAACCGCCTTACCTCGCGGTACGGGTTGTTGTTGACTGCATGTGCCCCTAAGAAAAATTGATGAAGGAGAGCAGAGTTACTTAAAAGTATGAGCGCGGTCGGCAAAAATGGACGTTCCAATTTATGCCAGCAGCTTCAAGAAACAACAAGTGACAGTAAGCGCCTTGAATTAGGTTGAAGAGGACGTTTACTGGGAGGGCGATCCAAACTGAGCGGGTGTCAGAACTGGAACTTTTGACGACTGTAGCACCCTCCTCACTTGCTGTAGAGTCGCGAAAGTAGGACAATCTCTGAGTTGCGGTCTGCACTACTTGCACAAGGAAGAACGACCATGAACTGCTTCAGTGCTGGATCTGTTTTGAGGTACGACAGCTAATAAGAGGTCGTTCGTAGGGAGAGAAAAACTCGAGCAGCCTAGGTCGTACTTAGATGCAACTCGACCCTTTACTCCAGATCTTTGCTTTACCAAACGCCTCGTATGGCACTTAAAACAATGGAATTGGCATTCTTATTCGCGGTCTTCACTACTGCTCGCACTGGAAGTGCGGGCTGATCAATCGCCTGTATGATATGAACCGTGAAAAACAATACCCTTGAGATGGAAGAAGAATCCTGCGTGTTCTTCGAACAAATTGTTCTAGAAGGAAGCTGAAATACATCACTGTGTTTCCGCCCATGATTTCCGCGACTGTTATCTGAAGCTCTTAGAAACGGCTGTGTTACGAATTTATGAAAGGGTCAGAGCTTAAAGGTTAACCGAGCGTTAGGGCTAGCGATGCCGTCAGGTATAGATACTGTGAGTTTCTGTAGGGCCATTCTGTGCGTAGTCAAGGGAGCTAGCAGCTGAAACTGGTACCGATCTCTCACAGAAAAAAAGCTGCCTGTAGAGCATAAAGCAGACCATGTGAGGAAATGCTTTCACTGTGTTATTGTGAATACGATTGTGCAAAACAATACTGGTACTGGCACATCGGTGAACACACACGATCAAATGTAACAAATTTCAAAACATGGCCGGCTTCACGCTTGAACTGGTCCATGAAGGTGCAGCTCCTTGCATACCAAGACGCATGTGGTGAAGGTAAAATCATATGAAATTCGGATTTCAGTTGCGAAGTATGGCTGCACCAAGCATACGCGTGAGATGTATTAGTACCCCCCCCCCCAGTAGTACTGAGTCCCTACCTGCTTCTCTAAGGTCACCCTTGACAATCAAGTAGCTACTAGCAGTTACTTCAGAAAGAAGATCCAGCGTTTTTTTCATGGCTGTCGCTGTAGTTTTAGAAGAGTAAAACTGAAGATGCCCGAGACATGAGCGCTTGTTAGGTAACCAACGTGCAGGACAGTGGTCTTGCTCAGTGGAAGACAATTCTTTTTAGAACTCTGTCCGAGAATGTCGCACGACATTTCTTCCGCTCTACAGGTTGTGAAACTTGATTTTTCAGTATTCGCCACTGGGAGAGGCTTTTACACCCGTACGGCTTTCAACTTACCAACAGGAGGAGCTAAACGACCTCGCATCATGCATCGACGTGATGTAATTCGAATGAGTATGTACAACACTGAAGAGTCGATTGATCAAAACCGATAATTTGCCACTAGTGCATTTTTCTCTACTAACGCTTCATTTTCGTTCCTGTGTTTGGTTTCTAGTTTGGAGCTTTTGCGTGTTTATTCACCTGAATAAATACTGAAACACGTTTCCGAATCTTCGAACTGAATCATTCGGAGTGCAAGGAGATACATTGGATGCGAAAGTGACGGATCAACCGATTCTGTACCAGGGCACACCATCGTACTGGAAACCATAACGGGTTGCGGTCGTCGTTGCCCGCGAAGGGGGAGGGGGGGGGGGGTAAGCGCAGAGCCATTCAGAAGTGGAAAGAGCAGTAATATTAAGATAACATGCAATCACTACTGATAAAAGTTTATTCATGGTCCTTGCTGTGAAGAATACCTGAAGACACTTGAGGATGAAATTCAGAACTGGGAACGGCAATGACAGAAATACGGAAGGTGCCCACGACGACGTCATGAATCAATAGACAAAGGAAACACAGTATATACTCGGGCCTCCTTTAACCGTAGGAGAACACATGCTTGTGCGAAGAGGCCTTACCTGAAGGTTACACCTCCCCAACACCTCTGCCTGAGAGTCGGGTGCACGGTGCAATACGAAGGGGACGTCGGCGTCGAATGAAGTATTTCCTAAGTTCCTATGAAGAGAGGTGCTCCAGAGACTCACTAAAGTCTTACTACAAACTGAAAATGGTACTGCGCTGGAAATGTGGATCTTTCGCGTCGTTCCAGAACTTGTTACAGCAAAATCACAAAGAAGAACTTTTTTGAACAGTGGGTGTGAGGAAGATGAGAGAGGAACAAGGATTTTTCTGGCATCTGAGAAAAGTTACGGCTGTGCGAAGCAAGAAAACTCGTAGGTGACCTTAAATGGTAGCAACGAAAGTCGTTCGCAACCGGGAAAGTTCTTCAAGAGGAAAGTGTTTGGTTGCGCTAACAATAAGAAACAGTCAATGAACCACAAACTGAAGCTTTAACACGTTTTTTCTCTTTTCGGAAGTTCCACTTTCGAGAAAGCTCTGAACATCCGAACCAGGGGTACTTTTGGAATTTCTCGGCCTGCGGAATAACTCGCCCCAGCGCAGCAGTGAACAGGAATTGAACGCTCGCGCGTAATCTCTGAATATGCGAACAATTAAATTTCGAGTATGCCTATTCGATGTGATCTACTTTTCACTTTTTTATCTTTTTTTCCTGGGGGTGGAGCGGTATCGTTGTGATGCTGATACCCGCTTTCGGAGAGGGAGGGGTCGTGGTTAGCAGAATTTTATCACAACGCGATGGCGTGCCCTGGTCCGGCGTGTTGAAAGCTTTTGCTGTTCCTCGCTTGCTGCGCATTTCAGGAAAAAGCGATAATTACCACTGCATTATATGCTGCAAAGCCTTCATCACGGTTGTCTGAAATAATTTTATACTTGAAGGGTTCAACTATCCTTCCACGAACAGCTGTTAACCGTTTTGCACATAATAGGACTCATCACATACTGGGAAAATTTCCCAAAGGAATCAACCTACAATTAAACTCTTAATTACATGCTGTCTCTCCTCTGTTTAGCTCCTTTTGTAGAGTTTCTTGAATCGTTGCAACCATTCAAGAGGCAGCATCAAGATCGGTTCAAGTATCATCACTGTACTGCACCGTATGGATTCTTCATCTCTTCTATAGTGCTCAAAGGCACGTTCCGCGATAAACTAAGGCTAGAACCTCATAAACGTGCATGATGATCAAGCAGGCAACAGTAGAGGATATGCTGCTTTTAAAG